GGAGAAGGTCGGCTCGGGCGGCTTCGGCCAGGTGTACAAGGTGCGCCACGTGCACTGGAGGACTTGGCTCGCCATCAAGTGCTCGCCCAGCCTGCACGTGGACGAAAGGTGCGCGGGGTCGGGGGGCTGGCTGGGAGCAACTCGGGCGCCTGCCCCTCTGGGGGGGGGCACATGTACACGCGTGTGTGTGTATTGTGTGGCATCCCTGAAAGGCTCTCTCTCAAGGTCTCCTCGGGGCACCCCTGGTTGGGAATCACAGTGTCGGGGTGTGTATGCACAGCTCTATATATATGTATGTACGTGCACACAATTTGCAATGTGTACGTGCGTATAAATACATGTATGTGTCTTGTGCCTTGTCTTGTGGTATGTGTGTGTGTATATATCTATAGATCACTATATCTCTCTCTATATATATATATCACCAAGGTGGCAGGCTTGATCCCCAGGTGGAGTAGGTAATCTCTTGAGGTCTCTTCCAGCCTTACTTCTCCGTGATCTATGTACATACACCGTACAATTTCACAGATTCATACACACCACATACGTGTGTGTACGTGTATAAATATATATGTATATACACACACAGTGCTATTATACTCGCATGCATATACATGTATATGTATCTATACCTGTATGTACACACAGCAATTTTCAACCAGTGTATATTATATATATCCCGCCCCCCCTATATTATTTATATTCACTGGAGATGGAGATATAAATGTGTGTGTGTGTTCACAGGAGACACACACGTATGTGCATGCATTTGTATAAACATGCGCATGTGGTGGTGTGCACTATTTGTGTGTGTGTGTGTGTATATATGCATGCACATAATACACACATGCACACACACACCTCTGCCTTGAAAGAAGGTGATGGCTTTTGTTTAGTAGGAGGGCTCTTTCAACAGCTCTGTCTGAAGGGACCTGAAGACCAAATCCTGTATGTGTGTGTGGGGCCTTGCTCTCAGGTGGCATTTGCTAGCAGTTTACACTGGTTCAGATTTTGATTGTTGAAGATTGGACAGATTCTAAAAATACCCTTGTCTGGTTCCTAGGAAAAGGTTTCTGTGTTGTTTGTAATTTTTTTTAATCCCACCAAAAAGCTAAAGTACTACAAGGAGTAAAAAGGCTGTTGATGAAATTCTGCGGTCCTTGGGCTGTTAAATGTATGAAGGCAGGGTAGAGATGCACTCAACTAGCTGAACTAAAGATGCTGAAATGGAGAATCTTTTGTGAGTGAGAGTTCACTTTTTTCATTTGAATGCATGAGTAACACCGAGTTAATGTTCATTCTTTTGGAGGCTGGCAAACATCTCAGTATTTTTTGGGGGCGGGATGTGTTTTCAGGGTTAGGTGTTCACCACTTTCCAAAAAGTCACAAAGTGAGCCCTCTGATTATTAGTCTGTCTTGTAAATGTTGGTAGCTGTATGTGAAAATGCTGTTTGGAAAGTGATTGATTGTATACTTTTTTAATTTCAATGTGGCATGAATTGGTAAGTGAAAAGTCTCATTACTAGGACTTCCTTATTGTTGACAGCTACACTGGAGAGGACTTGCTAGTGGTTTGCCCCAATGAAATAGCCCTGTGTGTTTCAGAATCATACCAGGACATTCCCTACCCCTTAAAAATAATAATAAAAAAACTGATTTGAAAATTATGAGACTAAGAAAATTGGAGCTTTCTTTATTTGCCTTCTGGTCTTTGATTCCTTAGTTTATGCTTGGGTCATATTTGTCAAGCTCTTTGCGGGGCATGAGAACTGGAAACTTTTTTTAAAAAATGGAAGCTGAAATTTTGTTTGCATTAATGCCTGACTACATGAGCAGCTTATTGCTGATTAGCAAGGTTCTTCTGTATTGGGAGATTAAAAGTCCCCTTAAAACTACAGAGATTTCTGAGATAGTAGAGGAGTGAAATTAGCTGACCTAATTTGGTAATGTCCATTTCTTTTGGGGCTTTCTGAACTATCCTACATGCTGTATACTTCAGCATCCACAGGAGACTTCCTTTCACTCCCTGACTGGAATCACAGAAAGAATGGACTTTGTCCCTTTATTTTAAAAGCATTTCAAATGTGCCCACGCACTTGTGGGTCTTAGCAGTAAGATATAAGGTTCACAGACATTGCTAACTGATTGCACCTTATCTGTGCAGAATGCTTAGCATGCTCTTCTTATTGCGTGCTAGAGACCAAGTCCTATACCTCCTGACTTAAAACTCTTCCTGAAGCCACTGACTTTCCTGAGAATGAAGGGCAGCTCTGGATCCTTAGCACTGCAGAAGTGTCTTGTGTGTGCAGAAGTTGCTTTATTTGCCATTTAAAGTACTTTAATGCCCTGATTTAACAGAAGTGCACAGCTTTATAGAACTTTAAAATGTATATGGCATTTTAAATTAAGCCTTGTTAAATGTGATATTAAATTTGAAGTGTTGGATTTCACTGCACTTTAGCAACCTACAGCGCTTTAAATAACTTTTAGATGCTGGTCAAATTGTTGACCAGTGGAGAAGCCCCAGGAGGCTGCAGAGCCTCCTAGTCTGGGAAGTGCAGGGAGGCTCAGAGCGCCCCCCGTCCCACCAACACTGCACTTTTGCCATGTTTGAGAGCGCTGTAACTTTGTAGTGCTGTAAAAAAACTACTGTAAATTACATTGCTGTAAAATGTGTACAGAGCACTTCTGTATGCAAATACAGGTCTGAGAATGGTCACCTTCCAGTTTAAGGCCAAGTACAGTAGCTTTTGCAGAGCTCTTGTGAGTAGCAAGGACTTCTGTTCTCCTGTATCAGGAAACTGTTTGCTATGTGAGACTTGTGCCTTGGCAGGTAGAGCATGCAATTTAAAAGTGAACTAAAAGGTGAATTAGCAGGACCCTGTGTGATTCTTCCTTTAGTTCTGGGGGAAGAACAGATATGCCACCTCCCCCTATTTAGGATAAAGAGCTGTATGGAATACCCGTCGTTAAGCATTGCTTTAAACATCACTGTGGCCAAACTGGATTATATTTGTGCCCTGCTATTGTGACCTAGTTTTAAACAATTTAACAAAATGACAACCCAGAGTTGGAAGTTAGCACTGTTATTTTAAACAACACAAAGCTAGGCTTTAACCTGTTGACTCTGGTGGTCAAGGCCTATGTTGTAACCCAGCAACTTAGATGGATAGTGATTAAGCTCAGTGAACACATACTGACAATTAAATGTTCCGTAAGTAGATGTGGCCCTTGTCACACTTAAGGGAAGACCTGGCCAGTTATTGTCCTGTGTCTTGTACACTGGGGTGGCCTTCTCTAGGAAGTGCCAGCTGTGTTGCTTTGCCACTGAGGCAAGTTAGGGACATTGGGAGCTCTACAGCAGTGCTACATATTTTACCCATTAGATCAGAAAAGGCAGCACTGAACTGGAAGTACTTTGCACTATGAATGGCAAGTACCAAATGAAGAAGGACCAGGATGATAGATAGAGATGCTTGTCCTGCCTGTCCTGTAAGAACTGATCATGTTGATGGAAGGGTAGGATAGAAATATACTTAAAGACAAAGCCTTGTCGTAGGGATAGATAGCTGCCTATGACAAGGTGCCTTATTTCCCAGTGTGTCTGGGATATTTCTGGTGTTTCTTGGTGTAACTACCAGCTGCTAAGTACATCTGTGTCAGAGCTGCTGTTAAGCCTTAACTCTGCTTAAAATGGTTTGACTGTAATGACCCCACTTTTAGGCCCTGGGCAGATGTTCGGTTAAAAGTGTGATGGGACCAGATCCATGATCCTAGCAATCATGCCTCCTGCCATACTACACATGCATGGCGTAGCTATGGGATCAGATCCCAATCGTACCATATTGCCAGTACAAGGGGGAGCCTGGGATCATGAGCCTGGGCTCCCCCAGCACCAGAAAGTAACAAGCCAGTCAGTAGATTGCTGCTCCCAGCCTCAGGGCTGTTTTGGAGTTGGGGGCTCTGATGCACCCCTGAGGTAAGGAGCTTCCCAAATCAGTGGATGGCCTGGCCATGCATTCAATTAAAGGCACAATGGGAACCAGCCACAAAGTTATTACAAAGTATCTGCTTTTGTGTAACAACATATTTGTGTAATAACTTGTGCATTATTCCCTGTTTTTCCACACCATTAATTACATAAACATGTGTACTTAAGATGCGGGGTGGGGGGTTTAGCCATTAATTACACCTTAAGTATAACATCTGCCAGGGGCCATTTGCCCTGAGCAAAGAGAAGAGGAGGATCTTTCCTATGCAGGAGAAGACAGGCAGAGTGTATGAGAAATGGATGAACCTTGTTTTCTTTTGTCAAGATTGTTTAAAAAAAATTCTGTGTGTGTGTGTTTGTTGCCTCTCCTCCTCCTCATGCAAAGTAGTCAATGGCATGGTTGTAATATGGTTTGGGGCATTTAGGTGGGATGTATTGTTCTCAGCAGTGGTAGGCTGTAACAAGGCAATCAATGTACAGTGTAATCAAGTTCTGTGTGTGGTAGTGGCCCACTATGTAAGAATCACTTCTCTTGTGACGGATGTGTAGAGTATGATCTTCCCTTTCTCAGGAAGCAGAGAAGACTGCAAGCTGGGATCTGTGTTGAGGCAGGGCACAGGAGGTGGGCAGGGCTTATACTGGGTGAGGCTCATCATTTTATGACTTAATTGATCTCTGGGCATTCTGCCAGTTCTGGGACAGGCTTTGTGATTTACCTAGAAACAGGGAAAATGCTCTCTCTAAAAAGGCTTCCTGCCACAGGAGAGACTGGTTGGGCCCAGGTTTGAAAATAATCATTTTCAATAGCCTGCCCTACGCCGCAAAACTATTATGCTGGGGATGTCCATTAGTATGGCTTGTAGTTTCCTAATGTGCTTAAGTTCCCATTTGTAGTGTAGATGTGCCTGAAGTGTGCATGGGACAGCTGGCTTTCTTGTCTGCAAGACCAATATTTTTAAATAGTGTAGGTGAATTACAAAATCCACTGCTCAAAGGGTGGGGTTAACATGATCTACACACGATAATCATCTTGGGTCAATAAATAGCGAACAACATACAAAAGGGCAAAATGTTGTAGATAGTAACTTTTATTGGATTAACCTTGCTTTCAAAAGGA